GCTGCCTACAATCTGAGAATTTCAAATTCCTGTGTACTTAACTGCATGAAGCATTGTGTATTAATATTTATGCACTATTCTATGGCTATAAAACTTCTGGTGCTGTGTCATATATAAATAATTATTAAAACGATATCACAGATATACAGCATGATCTGCAGGATAGTATTGTTTAGCATGGTCTTAAAAAGTTAGACTTTAATATTTTACAGCAAAGTTTGTTTATTGTGAACTAAACCACAATGCACAGTAGGCTGTTAAGTAAAAAGAGATGAGGTTGCTTACAGTAGTACAGATGCAAAATTTACTCCCAATACAGTTCTACAATAACAAATCTGCACTTTGCTGCTATATTCCTAATTCAGATTCCACACCAGGAAGGCAGGTTTCTGTCTGTTTATTCTGTTTTGAATTCTGAAGGATCACGCCAATTTCCTTTTCAGCTTCACTGGATTGTTCATTAAAATTATTTTCAGTCTTGCAAATGAAAAGCTGGATTAGAAGGCCAGAAGTAGACTACAATAAAAAAGCTTTTCAAAACAGCTTTCTTTTGGAAATGTGTTGCACTTCCTCTTCAGCAAAATGCTTTTTTTTTTTAACTGGTAAGAATTAGGGCAAACATTTCCAGATCTAGGGGAAATGTTTAGGAACATCTGAGTTTCATATACTGAGGGAACATCTGAAAGGTGTTTCAGGGCAATTCTCAACTACCTCAGAATGCAATCTTGTTTTTTCAGAATAAAGAACCAGAGACAAATCACATTTCCCCTTCCAAAGAAACCATGGACTAGGAAAGAAACCATTCTCTCAACACAAGACAGTCTAACAGTATAAAGGTTTACGTAGGCCGGTTTATATCAACAGCTTAAAAAACCTTGAAATATTATGCTTCTGTGTGCAAAGTACGTTTTATTATCCAATAGTATTAACAGATTATGCAGTAACATAAAGCATGTTTCCTCAGGCAAGGTTGCTAATGATCTCCGGGCCCATGTGTGTCCCCTGCATGCCGCTTCTTTTTTAATTATCCTTCGATATAAAGGAGCAAATGTTTTCAAGAGAAAGAAAGACGATCTAGAATGTGAATTAATTTGAATAAAACTCCATTAACAAAGATCTGAGTGCTCACGAGGCTCCTACTACAGACCTCTGGGGCTTCGGAGTGCTGGTGAAAGGCAAAACATAGAAAAAGACTTGTTTCTGAAAAAGGCACCTCAAGTCCAACTAGTCTTGGGACAATAAAAACAATTCTCTCCGAGTGAATAGGACGGGATGAAGAACGTGCACCCACCAATGTGCACATGGATCTCCGCCCTTTATTCCCACATTATTCCACAGGGTGGCTGCTTTCCATTTTGAACTGAGGCTAGTTGGAAAAAAGACTGATACAAACTGAAAAGCACAGGAATCTATACTCCTTTCCATCAACTCTCTCCTCTTGGCTCCTGCAATCAAGATTTTTTAAGAAATGTCAACTGTTTTTTTTAGCTACATATATAATCGGTGGTCTTATTCTGTCCCAACCATGAGTGGCCCATTTTATAGGCAGCACAGACAGAGAAATCATCTGAAATAAAAGCTTCAAAACAATTAGCGTTGCCTAGAGGCTACCTGAGCCTGAAGACTATTCCAAGAAATTTACAAGAAATGTATTAAAATCAAGAAAATTGTAATCGCTATTTAATCTTTATACTTTATACTGTTTAACACAACTTGACCACGCAAAAGCATGGAAGAGGTTAAAAAGTGCAATATAAGATATAAGCCTTGAGGAACTTTCATTTTCCTGTATTGTGCTTTCTTTTTTCCAACAGAACACACAGTAACCTACTGTCTTGAAAAAACAAAGACATTGCTTTCCTGTGCTGAAATACGATGACTAATTGTCCACAGTATAAAAGGAATCAGGACAAGTTGCCTCTGTGTTCAACGTGAAGCTTGTAAAAGTGATCACATGACTTTAGTCTTCAACTCTGCTACAGTTGAAAATACAGTATCTAAATACATTTAGAAATTCTCAGAAATAATAGCATGTTTTGAAAGTAATTACTCAAATCTAAACTACAGCCACTGCTCTATTATGAAACTTGAAGTACAGTACATTAGCAGCACAGGTTACAAATCTCGACTTTTCAGGCTCAACTAGTTTAAATTTCAACTTTTATAACGATACTCACTAGGTACAAGTCTGAGAACTTGCACTGCAAAGTGCAGTGATTCCTGCAGCACCTGCAGAAGCTTATCTATATTACAGAATATATTTTTTCAAACATGAAATAAAACAAGAGAAAAAAATACTGAATAAGGGGGCTGGAAGCAACAAGTAAGACGTTTTCAGAATCCACAACATCAGTGTCTTACAGCACAAAATCATCTGGAAATTCTCAAAATAACGAATTAGTTTGTATTCTCCCCATTCCCTCACTGCTCCATAGGCAAAATCCATACTCCATTATGGCAATGGAAATAGCATTTTCTAAACCAACCACACTTTTGCTACTCATATTTATCAAATAAGTCTTGATACTGCAACCCACTTGTAGTGTGATAAATTATTAAGCACCTGAAAAGGCCATGTACACATTTCTGTATGTCTGGTACAGAATTTTAAGGGCAGTGGCAATTGATTAGACCTCCTTCTTCTGAACAAAAAGGTATTTTTTTAAATTGACAAATGCCAAACCAGACCTCAAAACATAACGCAACATTGTGGTTTCCAGTCCTGGATGTTCATAAACTCACAGGTCTTCTTTGTGACTCTAATGATCAAAGGGTTGGAATCAATTTTAAATTGGACTATCTATGCAATTGATTGCTTCAATTCAGTAACACACAGCTATGCCAGAATGAAAAGCATTCTGTAGTTTTACAGTACTGCATCTCACCACTAACAAAACACAATACCAGGAGCAATGTTTTTTTATAGTACACTGTAATCTGTCTTTCAGTAGCAAGACACTGAACATGACAATTAGTCAGAAACTGGGGTTCTCAATCAGATCACAGTAAATCATGACATTCCCCTTCAAATAACATAAAAGTATTCAAGAGGCAGCACAAGTACAACGCCTGGATATAAAGAACCTAGAAAACATTATTTAACATCTTCATTACGAACACTGTTGGCCTAATTTCTCTTGAAACTTTACTCACAGCTACCATGAATCTTGGCATCCCTCATATCTCAATTTCTGGGTTTTCGTGAACTCTTTTTTTACAAGGGGTGGAACAAGAGGCACTGTACAACAGAAAACTGAAGATTTAAGTGTTTGAAAACACATCGAAATTTGAAATGGTTTGAGCTGTGAGAAATGTTAACATTGAAAATCCTGCAGCAGGATTAAAAGAAGTCCACCAACAGCACCTATTCACAGGTGCATGATCCTTAAAGCCAGCATTCCCCTTAACCTACAGTACCATTCTGATAAAGCAGGACGCACAGTACTTCACCTCAGGAAATTCAGCCAGTGCATTATTTTAACGTAGAGTTCAAGACTAGTCATGGTGAGCCAGGGGTCTGACTCACAACCAGCCAATCAAAATGACTTGGAGTTAAAACTGTTTGTCTAGTGGTCTTCATCTGCTTCTACTAAAATAAAGCGACCACAGAAAAACAACCAGTGCCACACACAAGAGATGCCAAGGTGCTGTTACGAAATCCTCTAACTCTTCAAAGTATTATTTTGTTACGTATTTTCTCTGTAGTTCTGGCTTCATCCAAAAAAATGGAGGAAGGGATAGCCTACAGTTGTCAGAAATGTATCTTTCTTCCATAGTTTTGTATTAACCTTAAAGTATTTCATACATGGCATCAAAGTTTTGTTAAAGAGCCTCAATATATAGACATGAAGCAAAATACAGGTCTCCTGGTCCCTTCTAAAGTTTCTAACTTCATTTCATATCCCATAGTTGAGCAAACTTGGCAAAATAAAGTGTTTAAAGTTGGTTTAAAAGAAACAACTGAAGTAGTTTTTTCCCAGCCATATATATATGAATTTGGGAGGGAAAAAAAAAACTCGTACTGGCACGTTTTCCAGCATCCTCAAGTACATAAATAAACCCAGTTACGCAACCAAGCTGGGTTAGCTGGCTGTGGCAATTGACTAATTCAAAAGGACAGATACCCGAGTCTAAAAATACCGAGTGTCTGCGATGATCTTGGAGGGGTTGAATTCAGCGTAGCACAGCAGTGGCTAATTAAAAAAGGTTTTCTATTTAAAAAAAAAAAGAGTATAGAGACAGACCACCTTTTTCCTTCTATTACAATCTGTGGTTTAAGACAGGTCCCGACAGACTTCAGAAAGCGCTGACTGATGAGGCAACAGAAACTATCGTCTTTAAATCTGCTCTCAGCTGGCACCACGTCCCTGCAGGCTGCCTCCCCTCCGTCAGACTTCACATCTTGTCTGCAGATTCAACTCGCTTCGCGGGGGGCTGAAGTTCACTTACACCAAGTCTCACCCCTTATTTTGTTATTGTGTGAGAAAAAAAAAAATCACAGTTCCCTTAGAAAAGTGACCGCGCATACTTCAAGGTCATCCACATAGACTGAAACACTTTGACGCTGTTCGGGCACCTTTTCCTTCCGCGTCCGCGTTAACAACCGCACGTAAAAGACAATAAACAGCATTTTCTTCTAGGTAACTGCCTTTTTTTTCCCCCCCCGAGCCGAAATACAAGAAAAGACAAGAGAATGACACCTGGAATAATTAATGCCACATCTTGTTTATATATCGATAACCTGGACTTAACTTAATGTGTTGAAGACTTCCAAACCAGATAATTGTTCTTACATTTTGACCTGATTGGGGGGGGGGGACCTCCTTTTTAACAGCATTGTAATTTCCTGTAAATATTCCCACCAGAGGGACAGTCATTTATCTCTTCTCGCCACCGGGCTGTTTTAATAAAGTCACATCCCTTTTCTGCTCCTTGAACAGCAAACTCGGCACGAAATCACATTTAAAGACAGCGTATTTTAAGATCTTGGCGTTACTCACCCAAAAAATAATGTTGAATCCAAATAAGAAATACTTCACGCAGCAGCTAACTTCGGCTACTTTGAAATGGTGATGTTTCCTACTCATTCTTGTACTGGTATATTATATAATCGGCGTCAGGTCAGCTCTATTTACAGCACATGTACAGTATATATACGAGAAGGCAATAAAATTAACATGGGACTACCGAAAACAATTAATCAAAAATATATACATAAACAATAGCCCAATAGCGCTTCCAGCAATATGGGTGGATAATACATCGACCCGATTCATCTGCAGGTTTAAATTAGTTTATTCTACGGAAAGCAAAGCAAAAACGAGCTTTCGTGGCGTGAACGCAAACCGACATTCCCCGAGACGCACAGAAGGTTGCATTTGTCTGATTTCAGTGTCGTCTGTAAATATCCTCCATGACAGCAACAATGCACCTCCGACTTAGCTCCGAAGACAACAATCACCGCTGGAGCGCTGTCATAGCTGTGAGGGAACACAGAAGTAAAACAAAGCCCGTTTCTAATCCAAGCTATTCTTCGTGGGGACCTCTAGTGGAACCTGACAAAAATCATTTTGGGGGCGAACCGCAGAATGGGGGGAGAAATAAAAACACCGACAGATTTCCCTGTGCTGTACATCTGTGCAAATATTCCGTGCTGCTGTTAGAAAATATGCATGTGTTGTTATTATATTGCATGAGCAATTAGACTGTTAACTGAAGCAGTGCCGTATAAGTAGTCCAGTCTTACACCAACACGATATGGACACAATTCTTTTTGTCCTGGTATGAAAATCTGGACAGCACTGCACAATTGACAGCTTAATGTTGTCATTTTGTATAAAAAATATTGTCCTTTAAGCTAAACCGTTTGCAAATACATGACTCCCTTTTCAGATCTAACAGGATCTAATATTACCTAATGCTACACTTTTCTCCATTAATGTTATATATTCTTTTGTACCATGCGTGAAAGAACTAACCATGTTTCTCCTGCTTTGACTACTTGGAACTCCTTCTTAGCCAGCCAATACTATCTGTCCACTCAGTCGGCTATATTATCTGGTAGAATCCTAAATAAGCTGTCCATAAGTGATCTCAACACTGCATTGGCTTCCTGTGATATTTTGAGTTTGTTTCAATACCCGTCTGCTTCTGAATTCTTCAGAATTCGGAGCCTTGCCTTTCCTTCCTCAGTTTTCTCCCACTGCTGCATGCAACTGATACAAAAGCTTAATTCTCAACAGACACTGTCCAAACCGCACTACTTTCAGTAATTTCTCTCTCCCTACATCCCTTCTACAGCCTTCTTCCTTGATGAGACTATTGCTGGCACTATAATAATTTATCTGACCTCACTGGGACTGGGTATTAAGATTTTCTCTTGGTTAACATTTGTGCGTGGGTTGACTACATCTGGTGTTTCACTCAATGATGGGTCCTGTCCTGTTCAGTATTTATCCTTTCCCTTGCTCGAATACTAAACTTGCGTGTGAATCTGAATTAATATTTCTCTGCAGATGATATTTATATTTATGATAATTAGTTACGTCTGAATTGTGATAAGATTGAGGTCATATTATTGGGTCCTTTCCATCACTTATGTAACACAAATGCTGTACCCTTGACAATTAAAAGCACTTTGCATGGGTTTTGATAAAAAATGAAGAATTTAGGGATGATCCCCTAGCCTGGCCCGACATTTTTACTTCATGTGCAGAAAGCTATAGGATATATATCGATATGCAAACCAAAAACACTGCCAGGCTGCATCCCATTCATTTTCTTAAGAACAAATTATAGGAATGCCTTATTTAGTAAACGAACTGTAAAATGAGAAATGTCAAGTTACAATATGTTCAGAATGTGTCAGCTAGAATCTAACTCATGGACAAATGATCTCATCACTCATCTTGGTGCCATTGCATTGGCTTCCTATAAGACTTTGAGTTATTAAATCCTTCTGTTTCCATTCAAGGATCTACACATTCTCTCCAGCAGACAGTATATCCTGTACATTTACACCTCTCTACATGGCCTGATTTACTAGGTATTCCTACTGTTCTGTAGTCCATGGGTGAGAGGGGCTTGTGTTGTCATGCCAAAGGTACTTTTATGTCCAGCTTAAAAACTTATTTTCAGAAATGCTTTAATATGTTCTCTTTTTTAAGCTTTGTAATTTCATTTTTATGCATTATAAATAATTTGAGAACTGGTTTTAAAGGTACTATATAACACAATACATACATACAGAATGAATATACATAGAATTAATTTTAAAGTACTGAACCTGGTTTTTATGACTCTAGAGGGCAAAGGTCCCATCTACCTAGCTGATCTTTTTTCAAACTTCACCCCAGGCTTTAAGATCAGGTCAATTTAATCTGCTGCAAGTCCCCAGAGACTCAAACTACACACGAAGGGTAACAAGGCATCTCAATCTATGCGTTTCAACGGAGACCTTTAAAAGATCTTAAAGCCCTTCTTACCAGCATGCCCACCAACTTCCAGTACTATAAACCAATTTCCTTTTTCCATGCTTGTAACTTAAGTTCCTTGAATTTTAACTTTCTCTGCAAAAATCACATTGAGATTCACTGTATACATTGAATCACATTGAGATGTGCTGTAGAAATTAACTTGCAACACAAGATTGCTGATAAAATCTATTTTCATTGCTTTTTTGAACCCAAAAATACATTTTGACTTGCACTAAAGGTAAGATCAGAAAGCACATGGATCAGATTACACAACTTTTTCCCCAAGAAGGGAGTAGTACTGTACTGTAGTTCAAATGACAAACCAAGAGCTAATCTTTGATCAGTACCATTGAATAAGGGTAGAGTTAAGACCACAAACAATGTAAAGAAGAATTTACTGCAGAAGGGAAAGGTTCTCTGTTTGTAAGGTGGTACATTTGTACAGTACTTTACACAAAGTAAAATGTTAAGTAACAAAAATAAAATACTGTGTAAAGGAGATAGAGTACCTTTATGTTTTACCAGGTACTCCATTTCCTTCACACTAATTTTTTACCAGCAACCCAACACTGTCCCCATGGCAATCATATCCCCTGAGGAAGGGGAATGGCCTCCCCACTTTATTACAGTACATACCCATGAGCGAGTGGGCTGCACTGTCTCTATCCCCTGTGACAGGTATTGTTTGTCTACATACCCTTATTCAAAGCAACTGGAAGCATAAAAAAAAATCTCACATTATGTGTACTGCAAGTACCAAGAAAAAAAGTGTTCTGTATGGTACTTTTTATTGAATGTCAAGAGTACACAGGTGCCAGAAGGAGATGAGGGGCAGAGCAGTCCTGATGGCCCTGGGGAGTTCATTTCCCCACTGAGGGGTGAAGGTGGAGAATTCAAACAGAGAGCAAAACAAGGTCGTAGGGAGGGATAAGTAATTACATGGACAGATCTTCCAGGCTACAAGGTGGTTTCAGTTTATGATGTATTCTGGATTTAAACCTTCATACATTACAAGTCCAATAACACACCATGAGCTATAGAATACACAAGGAATTGAAAAAAGTACATAGGAATTGTCAATTCGAACAACGCAGTATCTATAAAGGGCACATCTGACACTTCTCTTTGGGTAAGTATCTTTTTTTTTTATAGACGTTTGTCTGAAATCAAGTCAAAAAAGGTTGAGAAATTTGAATATGCAATATATTAGGACATAGGATGTGGAATACTGTGCAGGGAAAGCCTTCTTAAAGTCAAAGAGTGACTTATAAAACTAAAAAAAAAATGCTTTTTATCACTCAAAATGGGTCTCATTAGCTTAAAACTGGAAAGGTTGTCTTGACACCATTCCCCCTTAGTACAAGCAATAGCATTTCAATGAAGTGAATGACTTTTGGAATATTCCAATCAAAAAGATAGCCAAAATGCAGAGTTTGGTTCTCTGATCTTGGAATTTTTACCTCTCCAGTCCACTTTACCTCCACCTGAGAACCTACACAATTGCAAGACAAACAAAGGAATAAACTGAACTACTGGTTACAGTCAAACCAAATTTTATACTTTGCTTTATTTTCAACAAACCTCAAGCAACAAAAATCTCAAAGTGCAAGAACTATGAGGCATTATCATCCTTACCAAGTCCTAAGGCATTACATATTTAATGAACATAAACAAACCTCAGAAGTCCAACATCACCACAGAAGAACACAGGTGTGACAGCTTTCAAGGAGCAGTTCTGCACATCTAGGATTTGCAAATTTATAATTAGACAAGGACAAAAATGAAAAAGGGAAGCATCTTGACATTGCAGATCATTTAATCTCACATTACTGAAATGTCATCTTATACTTTTACTTGCTCTCTCAATTTCCCCCCCCAATTAGTCCACTAGAAACATCTGTCAGCTTGCTCTGCTCCACTTGTGTCCTCCAACATGTGGGGAGCATTGGACAAACAGTACAACACACAAAATTAACAATTACAAAATATTCATTTCAAACAACAAATTTATTCTTGGTAATGGAGTTGCTCTTGGTCGCAGTATCGGCATGGGCCTGATAGCCAATCACAATTTTGGCAGGCAGGCCTAGTCCTTCCTTGAACTTGCGGCTAAAAAAAAAAAAAAAAGATTAAATGTCTTAATATTTTTGCAGTTAGCAAGGGGCAACAGACGTGTGGACTTCTTTGAACCAAAAGTGCAACTGACTAACTGGCAGTGGAAATTAAAGAGATAAGCTATCTCTTAATCTAGCTATCGACACCTGGAAGAGCTCGACTCCTGCAGTCTGGTGCTAGAGAAAGTTTGAAAAAACTGCGCCGTTGTTGCTATTATTATATTTTCTACAAATTCTATTGTATATTGGTTTTTTTTTAATGTAAATGCTTCTAAAGTCTTATGAAAAGGTACCATTTTATTGCAAGGTTATTGAAAAAAAGTTTAAATCACTGTTACAATCAGTCTTTTTCTTTTGTTGTAATTACCCTGTGATTTTTTTCTGGTCCGTACCTGGATGGGAGACCTCCTGGGAAAAACTAAGGTTGCTGCTGGAAGAGGTGTTAGTGGGGCCAGCAGGGGGCGCTCACCCTGCAGTCTGTGTGGGTCCTAATGCCCCAGTACAGTGACGGGGACACTATACTGTAAACAGGCGCCGTCCTTCGGATGAGACGTAAAACCGAGGTCCTGACTCTCTGTGGTCATTAAAAATCCCAGGGCGCTTCTCGAAAAGAGTAGGGGTGTAACCCCGGTGTCCTGGCCAAATTTCCCCCCTGGCCTTTACCCCATCATGGCCTCCTAATAATCCCCTTCTATGAATTGGCTACATTACTCTGCTCTCCTCCCCACTGATAGCTGATGTGTGGTGAGCGTTCTGGCGCACTATGGCTGCCGTCGCATCATCCAGGTGGATGCTGCACATTGGTGGTGGTGGAGGGGAGTCCCCATTACCTGTAAAGCGCTTTGAGTGGAGTGTCCAGAAAAGCGCTATATAAGTGTAAGCAATTATTATTATTATTATTATAAGTTATCATAGCTGTTGTAAGGATTACTGAAAGATATGCGAAGAAAGTCAACAAACAACAAAAAAAAGTTAACTATTGCCTAAACAACCCTTCAGGTTGTTAGAAAATTGTGTGGTATGCTTGAAATAAGAGATAGAAGAAAAAAGATACAGGAGAAAAAAAATCATAACACCTTACACAAAATACAATAGGGCTTTTAGGAAATACTTTGATAACAGCGTTGAGTTGAGACCAATTAGCCTCAGTAGTTTTTCCAGAACTACTGTTCTGGATTCGATACAACTTAGCCCTCTTCCTGCTACACACCTCACATACTGCTCTTGTTCAATATGCTGAAAGCACATTTACCCAATGTAAGTGACAGCCTCTCTGTTTTCTGCATTTGTTGTCCAGATGGCAATTTTATCACCTTTTGCACGTACGTTAATGACGGCGCCACACACATCAGCACTGTACACATCAAAGCCCTCTCCAATAATGCACAGGAGCTTAAGAGGGGGAAAAAAGTAAAAATCGCCAGTTAATTAAGGCAAGTGACATGCAATTTCTGACTTGCATTAGGTATTATAAGTTTTTGAGCAGCTGTCAAGATTAAAAGACCTCTTGGCGAAGCTTTAAAAAGAAAGCCAGTCCAGTAGCTTGTACCTATGTATTAATTCTACAACCATAATTTGGAATGCTTTCAGCATTTCTTGCACACTAAATTGAGGCAAAAGCATACTTGGCTTCACCTGTGATGGATTTAAACCTTGGATGGAGCTGGATCCATCGATGGCTGTAATGCATATTCTTCCCAAAGCAACCATTTTCCCCTGCCCTGTGCCAATCACAGCCTCTTAATAATCCCCATCTATGAACTGGCTTCATCACTGTTCTCTGCCCCACTGAAAGCTGGTGTGTGGAGAGCGGACTGGCGTGCTCAGACTGGCATCGCATCATCTAGATGGGGACACACTGGTGGTGGTAGAGGGGAGTCCCCATTACCTGTAAAGCACTTTGAGTGGAGTGTCCAGAAAAGTGCTATATAAAAGTGTAAGGAACTAGTAATTCAGCCTCTGAATTTTGAAAAAAGATACTATTCAAACATACAAGATTCACAAATAAAACTAACACCTGAGAACAGAATTAATCAGTTTAAAAAGTATCGGCACAGAATTTACAGGCACCACTCACTGTATCAAGCCAGAAGCGGTCAAGCTCAGTGTGTCTCTGCTGTTTGGACAAGGTGATCAGCCAGCGTCCACCACACTTATTACTCCTGTCCTCCCACATTGGCTCAATCCCATCCTAAGAAATACACCCACAGGAATAACCCAACATTGCTTACTGAATGAGAATGAATAGCTCCAAGGTCCAAGATTACTATCACTTTTCACAGAGTAATGTCAAATTTACATTTTAATTGAATGAACAACAAGGAGTTGGAGAGAACTGCATTATGCCTTACAGAAACTATCCCATCCCCCAGCACAAGTGTTTTTAACAAAAGCAGCTGAAACCACAGAGGACCCATTTCATACTAGAGTGTGAAAATCTCGATTACCAACACTGCCCTCTATAAAGCCCAGGAGAAACTAAAACCCAAATTACCTTAAACACAGAATAGTCACAGCCTGAGGACAGCTTGCTGGCCACTTTCATGTTGTTGTATAATCTTTAAAAAAAGATGACATTTAAAAGGAGATGGCACAAAATATCCATTTAGAAAAGCTGCATTTGGAGGTGGAAACAAAATAAAAAGCAGCACAATTGCCAGAGCTACAGGTTTTCTTTCAACCTACAGTACATCCTGTTTTAAGGACTGGATGGAAAAACAATCATTGTGGTGAAAACTTTACAGAAACATTTGGATTTGAAGTGAAGTTAAGAAATATGAAATCTAACTTTCCCTCCAAGCACAAAGAAAAACTTAGTATGAAACATTTTAGATCTACCTAAGAAAGATGCACAGAAAGATGATAGAATTGCTCCTAGTGCAGTTTGCAGGGTTAATTGATGAAACGATACCCATTTGTGCCACAAGATGGCAGTCTACATTTAGCTATGATGAAAGACTCCTAAAACCAGGGCATTCCAAAGGAATTTGCAGTTTCTCCAACACCCAGCCTACCTCTACAGATGATGAAAAAGGCTTATGGAGCAGCACAGAAAAAAACTTCTAAATTTAACCTTTTCCACAATAATATTTAGGTGTTGCTAGCATGGGATGGCTATGATATTAAATGTTTTCTCACCCAATAAGGATTCTCTATTATCCACAGTGCTAAAAATAGCACCCCCCCCCCTTAAATCTGGAATTGGAGTATTACTCACGCCCAGAAGTCCTCCACTGTGTCAAACTTCGTGATGAGCCTCAGATTTTCCTGCCAGGTTTTGCTTTTGTCATTCTTATAGAACCAGAGGGCCCACCTGCAAGAAGAAGAAAACCCACTAGGAGTTTCTTGACGAGCCACATGCGACTCCTGAAGAAAAGTCCCTGTAAAATAACTGACTCATTAGTGCTGCTCAGCACATTTAAATGCCACATGACTTGAACCCAGTGCAGAATTTGGTTTGCTAAAAACATGGATATCCTAGGCTACATCCACAGGAAGTCAGTAGTAAACAAAAACAATAGCTTTAAAAGAATGAATGTTTGTAATTATGCTGATATTGCATATTATACTGTTTGTCAAATGCTCTGCGTTACAGGAAAAGAATGGAGCAGATTAAGATAACAGATGTTTCCATTGGGCCAGTTGGTGCAGTTTAGAGGGGAAGTAGAAATAAGCTCTAGAGATGACATTTCAGTAATGTGAGATTAAGTGCTTTTGCAATGTGAAGAGGAAAATGAAAGTCTAATGAAACAGACATCTAATTCAAGCACAATTAAATTTTTTTAAAAATTTGCAATACCAAACAAAACTAAAAAAAAAAAAAGATGATTCCCTCTTATTTCCTGAAAAATGCAATTCAGTAGCTTACAACTGAAAGCATTAACATTGCAGCCATAGAAAAGCCCATCATACACATATCAGTGACCTTTGTTATCTTAACCCAGTGGGTCCATCAACACTTACAGGGACTTAAATCAGGAGGCAGATATCTTTCTGGGCATGAAACTGGACAGCATGTCTACCAATAAGTACCACAGGATCTTATGCTTCCCTGACACAAACTGCACTTTCTTTTGAACTATAAAATAAAGTGGAAACAAACTAAACTAAGAGGTGTTAAACCACCACTTCCTCCCAATGTTCTCTTGAATGAAAGGCTCGTCCATTTACTCTTCTGTTCCCCACAGGTTGGTTTTTTTTTGTGCCTGACTGGTTTCTCTCTTCCTGACTTTCGTGCTGGCCAACAGGTAAGAAGTCGGGTCTCCTGCCGACAGCCTTCACTAAAAAGACACAGCCACCTGGCTCTTGGCAGTCAAGCAGAGTGCAACAGCTGTGCTGTTTAGCAGATCTGCCAAGTTGAATCGGCAACCCAAGTGCTTGCACTTCAGCAGCAACGGCAAATTCAATTATACATTACTAGCATGTCGGACGGTCAGAGAAGTTCCTCAAGTCACACCAAAGCGTTTTCATGTACCCAAAAATAATGATAAACAGCTTGCCAGAACTTCAGTAGTAAATGCTGGAGTCAGGCCTAAAAATGCACCTTAATCGCCTACAAAGTCCTGCAAGTCACAAGGTCACGATCGTACCGCAACCTTTCTCTGCAAGCTAGTTAGAATAAACAGCTCACTTTACACCAGCTCAAGCACTGATCCACCACACCTGTTTTCTAAAGGATGTTTAAGGCGCTTCCCCAGCAAAAGGGCCGCTTCTTTTCCATTTGCTTTGGCCGTTTTCCTCAGCTCTCCTTTGTCACGTCTTGGGGGCAGAGCAACCCCCTGTGGGGAAAAACCAGTAATAGTTACGTCTTTTTACAAAAAATACAGATGAAAATGATGGACGAATGCATCATTGCTTCGCCATACCTGTCTTGGGTATCATTAATGCGCGTTTACCTCATAAGTTAAGGTTCAGAAGTTGATATAATTGCCATAAATGCTAGAAGGAAAGGAAAGGAAAAGAGCAAAGATCTACCGCCGCTTAAGCGCTCAATATGCGTTTCTATTCTACTTTCTATTTCCTCTGTCGAGACATAAACCCAGCACCTACATGTATTACAAGTGCGAGCTGCAGTTTACTACGAGCTACGTGTAATTGGAAGGGACATAATTCGAGCTAAATTTCCCCTACGAAACGTTTCGGACACAAACTTCCCAGCTCCTTAAAAGCTCACCGGGTGTAACGCTGCTGTTGCCATGATGATATAATTAAGACGGGAGAAGGCCCTTCTCAACACTTAAATAGCCCCTGGGCATCCGGAAGTAGACCACTTATATATCTTATTATTGTCATTATTATGTTATTATGTTTTTATTTATCATAATAATAACCGCCATAATAATATTTGTATTTCTATTTTTTAAAGAAACGATACTTAAAAAGAACATTTTATACTGTTTTGTTACTGATCATAAATATTTACATACATGTTACTTTCTGTTCCTAGGGATGTTTCATTAATAAGGTAATGAATTTGTTTCATATTATTTTATTTAGCATATTCAAGACTGCTTGTGCTGAAAATTCAGAATATCTTTTGAATTTTGTCGTTTAAATCGTAAGAAGGATCCTTTTTTCTCTTGTATCACTACACAAATTCAACGCCAGGGGGCGACTAATACTTTCATTTTCTGACTCCTAGAGTAATGTGCTGTGGTTAAATTATCTGATACTTTAACAGCTGTGTAGAAAAGCTGTTTTATGACATTTTTTTTCCCTTGGCACATCATGCAAAACTATGATTGCACAGATCTTTGTACATAGCTAGAGCTATAAGCATGGAACTACCATACAATGAGATCAAGGACTACAAGGACCTATAGTCTTTTACAGTACCTGTGAGTTGTGTCCGTGCCATTAAGACAGGGCACATCTACTATATCTAGTTTGGAAAACACAGTTTCCCTCGTCATGGCAACTAAGGTCTAGGAGGTCTTAAGTCACCGTTAAATCTGAAATTCGTAAAGGCTTAGAACAGGTAAGTTTTTATCAGTTTACTGAATTAACTGGTTCTGGAAAAGACAGAGAGTGGTTGTGAGGTGTTGGCATTTTCATTAAAAAAATTATCCTCAAAATACTTCATTGAACAAATTACTTGCTTTGAAACTGTTAAGAAAGTGTAGAAATTCATGATTTAAGGGCAAAAAAATATCAAGAGTTATTCATGAAACACGGCAACTGAAGATTTGACATGCACAGCTGCATATATTTGAAAGTGTTTACAAAGGCAAACACCTACATTTGCATATAAATACATTTTGTACATATATACAGTACAGGCAGAAAGGTAATATATATATAAATATTTACCAAAATGTATAAGTATAGCTGTGCATATAATTGTCATTTGTGCAAACATTACCTCAAGACAGTTAATATTCAGTTCATGTCCATTAGAGCCAGAATGAAATTTTAATTAATATCTGACCCAGAACCAGAAAGTAACTTTCATTATTATGAAAATTGCCCATTAGGCTGTCCCAGCGGATGATAAACATGACATCATAAAAATAATAATAACTGTGATTTTCACTTATATGATTACAGGTTCCTGGGACTCACAGAAAATCAAGGCAACATTTTGATGGTACCGTAAGGAAACGAAAAATAATAAGCACTTCGTCTGAACTGACATGGATCTGAGCAAACCATACTTATCCATCCATCCCTTTTCTAACCCCTTCTTCCAATTTAGGAATGACGTGAGCCAGCGCCTATCTTGCGAGCGGTGGACACAAGCCAGAAAACACCCTGGACAGGACAGCAGTCCACTGTAGAAAATGATGAGGAGCTCTGACCTGATACACCTATTAAAAACCCCCAAAGTCAACCCAACAGGCCTTTTCCGAATGAACAGTAAAACATGACCCAGCGCACACGAGTGGAGGTGCTTTTAAAACCAAGACTCGGAGGCACCTCGTTACCCCAGAGGTTGTGGGAGTGTTGAACCAGCCACCCAGCCGTGCGCTTGAAGCCATAACTTTGGTTTCTTTCAAGGAAAAGGCTGGACGTGATCCTTGGATCCAGGAGCTCAGAACTTACTTGAATGGGCTAGAGAGACCCGTTTGTAACCTTCCTTCTGTTCTGAGCAAAAGACCTTGTGAAGTTTTGAAAGGTTGTGTAGGTATCTGTGGAATAGGAGAGGTTAGTTTACACCAACCAAAATAAAAGACGTCCCTCCTTCTTGGCATAGTAAGCAATGAAACACATGGGGCAATCATTTGCCAATTCATGGGCACCATTCCTAGCCTTTATAATATGTGAATAAAGCTTTTGTCCCCCCTGAGCTGATGCTGTGAAGGGAGTGCCACTCATATTCAAATTCTTGCAGCTGTCATCAGAGAGAATTGGATTATAGAGCTCCTTACCTTCATTAGGTGTTCCTGTCTATTCATACCACCATCCAGAGCAAAGACCTTTCAAATTACAATATGCTTCTTATTACAATTGGCCTGTGATGTTTTTGCTCCACTGTTACAAATGCTGTGATAAATGTTGCACCTTACAAGTTCCAGAGTAAGAATACTTTACAAAATCCCCACTCTTCATACTCTGTCTTTAACTGTGAAATCCAATGTTTGAACCTAAAATGAGGTGAATTCTTAGGTAAAGTGAGAGTGAATACATTCAGAGCAACATAATGGAGTCCATCATGGACTGACAAAGACAGATGGGCTGCATTCACTTTTCCCCGAATTGTGTGAGATAACTGAGGAGACAGCAATGGTGGAAGGAATGTTTTTTTTTTTATCTCCCAACAGTGATGGTTTAGGTAAGCTGGTAAACAGTGAAATAAACACATTTTCACTTACATTTGTACATACAGAAACCCACACACAGAGGATATACTGTACAGCTGTCTAGAACTTCAATATTTCTTGGAACTTTCTCTTTGATGTGGGTTGTAAGGTCATAGATCAACATACAGTATAGCTGCCACAACAGATTAAGTTTATACATTCTGCTAAGATCCCATTAATATTCCAATACGACTAAATAGATTTTGCTTAAAACTTGACTACTTCATATTTTCACCTATTAAAAATTGTTGTAGTGTTGGGCTAATTAGATTCTCATAAGCCATTTAGTGCAGCAGACCTACTATTTCTCAAACCTGGACAGAATAAATGACCTTTGCTGGTCTGAATCGTTTTTACTAATATTAGTAAACAGAACTATTTTGCACGCAGCTGCACAGTTTTGGTGGTACAGCACTATACATTTTTTTGTATCAAAAAAAGAGCTGCATCAACAGTCCTTACAACCATTACTTGTATTATATGTCATAGGTATCATGATTTCTTTATTTCTTTGTATCTGACATATGCCAAAGGAAAATGCTGTCAATAGATATTAAAAATCTCACAGCATCTTAAGTTTATCTTTATGTGACAAGGAAGGAGTGTAATATCACAGAGTCGCCACTAGAGGCCACCTGGATATGGTACGTGGGTGGAGACCTCAAGAATTGGTTGGAGATGGAGGAAGGAGCCTCAGCCTAAATCTCGAGTGAGCTGAGCTTAGGAACTCTAGCTTAGGACTTGTAATTTTTGAGGAATTCTTACTTTATTATTTTATATAAAGATTAAACCCCTTAATGACCAGAAAAGGTATCAAACATGAAAAACACTTAAACATGAATGTTTACTTTCTGTTTAGAGGAGAAGTGTAGACGCAGAACACTGTGGTCTACTTAAGGGCTGACAGGAACGGAGATAACCTCAGGAGTCAGGCACAGCTTTTCTCCAAAGTGCATCACCCCTTCTGTGTCATTTATATATAATCGCATGATGCTACTTGGTTTAGCTCATCTCCTCTTGATGTGGGCAAACAGCATGTTGCTGTTTAATGGAAATAAAACACGGAACCAAAGCTAGAGATGTAGTCTGTTTGTGATCTACAGTACAAAGCAAATGCCTCTTAATTATGTACTCAGGATGCTGTACAAGAATTGGACTATTATATAATAAGGCTATTATGTTTTGCTTTTATTGAAGCTGCCAGTAGGCTTATTTTGTAAGACACCGGGTGTATAGTTCATGACCATGTGTTACTCATATACTGTTTAAAGGAACTCTTTAGAGGTTAATGCATGAATTAAATTGTTTGTGCAATCCAAATGCTCAAAACACAAACACACACAAAAAAAATTAACTTAGTAGTGACTAGTATAGCTTTCTCAGCTGTAACAGTTGAAGGAGAAAGAATATGATCTGGTGTCCTGCAAAGATCTTTCACCTCAGCTATTATTGTACAGGGACATGAACTGCATGGAAAAGGAATTGACTGTTTTTGTTTTCCAGGTTCCTAGTCTTCTGTGAATATTAACTGCTCCTTTGACAGGAAACCACTGGCTATGAATGAGGAGTGCCTCAATCTGCGTCATGCTCTGGATCTGAAATCGCTCATGTTAATTAACTTACGGATGGGCATCAGAAAATGTTTTCATTTAATTTTTGTTTACATATCTCTTCTCTTGCTTTTAAGTCTTGCCTCAAAACACTGATACTTCCCTTTGCAGTTTTAATAACCAAACAAAATATGGGGACATAGAGTAGGATCCCGAAACCGTTATTTGTTATGCAGTATCTGTTGTGTGACTCTCATGTCTAGACTTTTTTACATTTAAGTAAAAAATTAAATTGTGTATGTATTCTTCTGTACTTTTGCCCAATTCTAAAGGCTGTAACAGCTGTGTCAGTGACTATTTTATAACTCAGTTTTGCTTCGTCTGTCGATTATTTGACTGATCTCTACTCTGCAGTGGGCTGGAGTAAAAGGTTCAGAAATGAATGACAAATGAATCCGTTTTTTTTCTAGTTCACCCATGATTTTTGCAAGGTTTCTCTCTGAGAAATGCAAAGTTCATGACATTTGTAGCTCTTTATTGCTTAATTAAATTTTTTGCTTATTTTAATTTGATTTTAAGTCTTGCCAGGAAGCAAAAGTGAATTGAATCAGGGTATTATGCAGTTAATCAGAAGATTAGTTAATTCACTCTGCTAAATCTGACTCTTACTTTCAGTGACGTTCTCTGATTTCAAAGAGACAAAGATAACTACTAATGTGAGTGACGAAAGAAGGTTAAATTAGTGATGGATAGGCAGTATGTAAAAGAAGTACTGGAGATACTGCAGCATGCTTACTGGTCTGCTGCACTACCCATAATAATATGGGTTATATTATAATAATATGGCACTATATGAACTTTGTTTTCTATAGTGCCAGTAAAAGTGGCTTCTCAAAGAGAAAAAGCACACAA